GAGAGTTAGAAACATCGATCAGCTGCCTCTTGCACGCCCCTACTGGGGATGTGCCCACAACCAAGGTACATGCCCTTGACCGGAATCGAACCTGGGACCCTTGAGTCCACAGACCGACGCTCTATCCGCTGAGCCAAACTGGTTAGGGCCAGAATGATCTTTTAATTTTCCCATTTCTCTTATATTCTTGCTCAGTGTGTATCCTAATTCATCCTTTTTATTCCCCCATGTCAGCATGGATCTTGAATGCTAATATCAGATGGGACACAGACTCCATTTCTTTACCATAACCCTTCCATGCCCGAAAGAGCTTAACGCACTGCTAGGTGCTGCAAAATGACTTGACGGAAGAGAGGATTTGGCAAAGATGTAAACTCATGACTCCCACAGAGATGTGGCTCAAGGTTGCTATGTGAATCTGTGAAAGGGGTGATTTTGTCTGGGTTTCAGCTTCCAGAGCTTAAAAATAGGGAGACAATGCCATCTTCTCAGACGGAAGTGAATTCTATGTATTAGAAGGGTAGAAGTTAAGATAGGTGCTATTACAGTCAGGAGAAGTTAGAAATAGTCTTACCTTGTTTTAAAATATAGATGGTAGTAGTTGCTGTCAAGTTGGTTGACATGAGGACATTTTCATGGTTGGAAGTATCCAGCTCCACTTTTGTCAGCTTCTCCAGGTCACTGTGGAAGCTGCTGACTTCTCCAGTGGGAAATGTGGCATTGGTCAGATGTCCCTCGAGGTCATACCTGAGGAATGGAACCAATGCCAACTTTGAAGCCTCTTGGCAGTGATAACAGACCTTTGCAAAATAAAAATCACTTGGCAGTTTAACTTTGAGTGATAACAAGTATTATTAACCTTGTTCAATAAGAAGAAAAATGTCAGAGGGATGATTAATCAAACGAAGGTATTTTTGCAGCTTCTGAATTCTTGATGACTTCCTTGAACTGTGCTGCTTTACAGAAAAAATATGTCTGGTAATGAATCACCAGGGTGGAAAACTGATTTATGAATCATGTCCCTCTGTGTGTAATGTTGCAGGGCAGCTTCCCTTTTGCGATTTGGGTTGATCCCATTAGATGTGATGGATGACAGAACCCAGCAGAGGGTGCTGTTGGCAAAGGAAACAGAGGCACAAACGAGGGCCCAAAGCCTGAGAAGGCCAATAAACTGACTTTGCATTGTAATAGGAAAATTTTATTTGCTGCCGTTTAAGTTGCCAAATTTGAAATGAATGAATCATTCTTCCAACAAAATGAACAAGCACAGAAGATAATGGAAGCATGTTCATTAGAACATTATGGAGCCCCCTGATCTCAGTGTCACTTAATTTTTTTAGCTTTTTAGAGTATAGCACATAATGTGTTGTAATTTGCTTATATGAGTAGGAGAAAAAAATAATTACCTGGGATAATAGGCAATAACCTATATCTAGAAATATAATCTAGTGAGTTTACTTTAAAAAAAACACACATACACACCATCAAAATTATTGGCAATCTCACTGTCCTCCAAATGAAAACTGCTTCCCTGAAGGCTTTTGATGTGGAGCTGTTCTTTTATTGCCAATAGAACCATGAAAAATAAACACTTCATTAAAAGTAAAGGCATGCACTTGGAAACCCATTACTGTTTTCTTTTCAAGCTGCAAATTACAAAATATTTAAGCACTTTTATAATGTTAAACAATTATATTCTTTTTACCCAAAGTGAACAGGATACAGCCTGGACACAATGGTGGAGTCTGGCTCTGCTACCTCATCCCCCAACCATTATGCAAAAGGATATAGTGATTCAGTGTTAATACACTGGGTTTCAAGAACTCAGCCTAGATAGTTGCTCAAATTTTAAAACCTAGACTAGTTTTTGGTAGGTTTGGGAAAAGGGGCTGGACCTTATTTTATCAGATAGACCTGAACTTGAGGGTATACACAATGTCACTTCCCTCAAGTTCAGTTCTGTGTGGACAGAGCACATGTGCACACATACACACCCTATCATTTAAAACAGTCATGTAACTCTGGATGGTGTGGCTCAGTTGGTTAAGTGTCATCCTGTGCACCAAAAGGTGGTAGGTTCAATCCCTAGTCGGGGCACATGCAAGAGGCAAGTTGTTAGTGTTTCTCTCTTGCATCGATGTTTCTCTCTCTCCCTCTCTTCTTCCTCTCTCTAAAATTAAAAAACCAAAACCTAATCATGTATGAAAATAAAAATAATCAAATAGGTCATTTGACATCATAGATATGTGAAGCCCTAGTTGGTTTAATTGGATGTGCCCTTTATTTAAATGGATTTCAGACAAAACGGTTGGTGTCTTGCTGCTATACAGCTAAGGCCACATTATCAAGGAAAGACCAAAAGGTGCTGCTTGTGCCTGAGGTTAATGGCAAAATCCTCCTGCTTGTTCAGCCTGTTTATTTTTTAAAATATATTTTTATTGATTTCAGAGAGGAAGGGAAAGGGAGAGAGCGATAGAAACATCAACGATGAGAGAGAATCATTGATCAGCTGCCTCCTGCACACCCCACACCAGATTGAGCCTGCAACCTGGGCATGTGCCCTGACCAGGAATCGAACTGTGATCTCCTGGTTCATAGGTCGATGCTCAACCACTGAGCCATGCTGGCCGGGCATGGCTCAGCCTGTTTGCCCATGGTCTGCTTTAGGGCTCTGTGGCTACAAGAAGCAAGTCCTTGATGAGAAAGGGGCATGGAAGAGCTTGAACACCTAGCATAGCCAAATCTTGTCTGCCTGGCCTTCCTTCTAGGATAAGAAAACGATGTCCAGCTTTGAATTCTCCCAAGGTTCTGAGCTGCTTTTCCCTGGAGGGAGGAGTTTGGAGGCAGCAGATAAAAGGGAGCTGCTGCAGGCCTGCCTCGTGAGGGAGACTGTGGCCTCGCTGCCTGGATTACCCAAGCAGTTCTTCTGTTTCACAACCATCACCAGCACCTCTGGTTTCCCTTTCCTGATTTCTAAGGGGTTCCCTCACCTTTGGCAAGGTCACTCTTCATCATTTTTCCAGGAAATTTGACCTAAGATGCTATGCATGCAGGTTCCCACTGGGCTTTGCAGCTGGGGGCCGTTTCCCAGTCACTCAGCCCCTTGTTTTAAAGCAAGATTTCATCTGAAAGTGAGGGCTGTGGTTGGGTTCACTCCTCAGGACTAAGATCAGATGCCAACTGAGTCATTCATGAGCAAAGGTACAAGGGCCAAACACCCCAACAGACCTTAGCAGTGGCCTGTGGATAAATCTGTTTTCCCACCCTCTACCCCAAACACCTTTTAAGCTCAGTCACAGGTGCTCTTTATCTGAGATTATACATTTTAAAGCTTATTTCAAAGAGCACAGCCACATTCCTACATATTCTGTTTCCATGCCCACCCTCCAAATTGACAAGAGTATATTCAGAAAGGAAAGCTAAATACTCCTGGGTAAAACTGTAATTACTCGGAGAGATCTAGCTGGGAGGCTGCTGCCTGACCTTTTTCTGGTGAGGGAGGCAATGGTGTGAGTATCAGGTAGAATTTTCCACAGTCCTGCCCAGTCACTGGGGAGCTAAAAAGTTATATTGCCTGATTTCATTGCTGTGGCTGGACAGGCATCCTTATTTGAGAGTGCACATTTGACTTTAACTCTATCATAAACAAAGTACGCTACCTTGAGGGCATTCTGCTAACTGAAATAAGTTAGACAGAAAAGGACAAAATACTGTATGATCTAAGTTATATGTGGAATCTAAAAAATACCCCCAAATAAAAAAATATGTACACACCAAACTCAGCAAAAGAGAGCAGATTTGTACTGACTAGAGGTGGGGGCTGGGGATGGGGGAAATGGAAGAAGATGGTCAAAAGGTGCAAACTTCCAGTTATAAGATAAATAAGTCGTGCCCTGGCTGGGTAGCTCAGTTAGTTGGAGCATCGTCCTGTACACCAAAAGGTGGCAGGTTTGATTGCCAGTCAGGACACACCCAGGTTTTGGGTTCAATCCCCAGTTGGGGCACGTGAGGGAGGCAATCGATTGATATTCCTCTCACCTCTCTCTCTCTCTCTCTCTCTCTCTCTCTCTCTCTCTCTCTCAAAATCAATAACAATATATCCTAGGGTAAGGATTACAAAAAAGATAAATAAGTCATGGGGATGTAATGTACAACATGATGACTGTATAGTATATATATGAAAGTTGCTAAGAGAGTAAATCCTAAAAGTTCTCATCAGGAGGAACCAAAATCATTTTGTTTTCTTTTCTTTTTCTTTTGTATCTGTATAAGATGATGAATATTAGCTAAACTTATTGTGGTAGTCATTTCATAATAAATGTAAGTCAAGTAATGCTGTATGCCTGAAAATTATACAATACTTGTATGTCAATTATAACACAATAAAACTGAAGGAAAACAAATAAAAGAAACCCAAAGCCGCCAGAACTGGTTTGGCTCAGTGGATAGAGCGTCGGCCTGCGGACTGAAAGGTCCCAGGTTCGATTCCGGTCAAGGGCATGTACCTGGGTTGCGGGCACATCCCCAGTGGGAGGTGTGCAGGAGGCAGCTGATCGATGTTTCTCTCTCATCGATGTTTCTAACTCTCTATCTCTCTCCCTTCCTCTCTGTAAAAAATCAATAAAATATATATTTAAAAAAAACAAAACAAAAAAAACCCAAAGCCATCTATTCCTCAACACACTCATGTGCCCCAATTCTGCTAGTCACAGTCAAAGCAATTGCAGTATGGTGCCACTCATGTGCTCAATCATTTATATGGCCCCTGGTCAAAACATACAGACCCACCTCTCTTCTGTGGGGTTACTTCCAAAGTAAAAGTGACTGGCAGATCCCACAACTTTGGAAAGATTGCTCAAAAGTAGATAAGAAATAATGGGAGCCTTTGATTTCCTATGGTTTGCTTGAGGTGCCCCCCACCCCATGACGGGGGAATGCGTGTTTCCAGATGGAATGTCTCAGAGACAAGTTTAATCAAAATCTCCTATGCTGTGCGTTTCCCTTTGGTGCTTGCATCCTTTGGTGCAGAGAGTAAATACAAGCCAATATGCTGCCACTGATCCCCTTGGGATGCAACATAGTAGCTATCTGCTCCTCCACCCCAGCAGAAAGTTGCACTCACTTAACCAGGCCTATAAATTTTGGTTAGTAAACTGTGCCATCAGGCAATGACTGTGGCCTTCATAGATTTCAGAAGTGGGTTTGGTAAGAGGAGATGCCATCAAATTGTCCCTTTCTGTTCTGATTTTAGAGAGTTCCACTGTGTGCATGCACACACATGTCCCCATGAAGCAAAAGCATCTGTAAAGGAAATTCAGAACTCATTCTTGTCCTTGAGGAGCATACAGTTTAGTTGGGGAGATGAGATTTATATATTATGATAAGTATATTGGGTCTGGTATTTTCTCATAAGGGATAGCCTGTCCTTTTCCTTGAGGACAATTGAAGCCAGAGCTAACCCATGCAGAGAAAAAACTAGAAGCTCCTTCACCTTTGCTTTCAGGAAAATATTGAATATTACAGAAGAAAAATTCATTACTTATTTTTAAAAATGGAAACAAACCCTCTTTACCCCCTCATGCCAGAAACCTGAGCAACCTAATAAGCATTCTTTCAGAAATACTGGGTTCCCTTTCCTCACAAATAACTTCATTTGGCTTCCTATGATTCAACTCCAAGTCCATAATGCCCTTCTATCTTCATTTGTGGCAGATAAGATACACACACGACTCATTCTAATGTCAGAA